TCCCCCAGGCTTGCTACCCTGCGCCGTCCCCGCCAGCGGAAAGTTCCCTCCGTACCGCAGCACTCGAGGGCGGTGGCCGAGGTGACCGCGAGCGCTCACGACCGGGAGGGAAAAGAGGGGTCGGCAAAGCTCGGCACCCCTTTGGGAACACGTTCCCCCAGCCTTGGAGGCAGTGGAAGGCCCTCCTCTACTGTTTGCAGTTTTCTTTGTTTACATTCAATTTAGAAATATTGGCCTTCGGCCAGCAAAGCGATGGTTCCCTTCCTCCCTCTCCCGCTCCGTCTCCGGCGGCGGAGAAGAGACTTTTAAGTTTCACGACCCCAAGTTTTAAAATGTTTTCCTCTTGGCTCCCCAGATTAACCCTTCGGGGCCGCGCCGTAAAGAAAACGGAGCCGGGCCGTGCGTGCACCTGCCCTCCGGAGCTCCAAGCCGAGGGGGTTCGCAACAGGTTCTGCCGGGAGATAGAGACGGAGGGTACCGGCGAGCCGGCGAGCACCGAACCGAGCGGCGGGGCCCTCGCCGTGGCCGCGCCGCCCGGCTCGGCGCGCCTCGCCTCGCCGCCCGCGGGGCGGTGCTGTGCGGCGGCAGCCGGGCGGGGAAACGCCGCGGTTCTCCCGCCGCCGCTGCCGCTGCCGCGCCGCCCGGTTCCCCCCGTGGTCGCGGCGGCGGAGGCAGCGGCGCGGGGTGGAGAAGAGCCCTGAAGTCGCTTGTACTCGCTGGGCTTGTATGTCCCCCCGCTGCCCCGCCCCGCCCCTCCACCCCGATATCTTCCCCCCACCACCCCTCGGCGAGGAGTAAGTGCCACCGCTCCGCCTTCTCCTTTTCGCAATGTTGACGCAATCTATAAATAGTGGAACAAAAGGACCAACTTCCTCGCAGCTTTGCTGAAACTGCACAAAAAAGGCAACCGGGGGGGGAACACACACGGTTATTTTTTGATTTTATTTTTCTCCGGTTGAAAGGCGAATCCTCCCCCTCCTTCCTCCCCCTCCCCCCCCAACCCCCCCGCTACTGGAAGATTTTTTTTTTTTTTCCCCTCGCTGTCTCCTATGCTGGCAACGTCCTGCGAGTGGCTGTTTTGCTTTCGCACTGAGAGAAGAGCTTTCCCCCTCACCCTTTCTGCTGACAGTAAGTGCCATTTAGCGACCGCCTTTTCGGGGGGTTGGGGGGCTGCCTGCTCGCCTACCTGCCTGCTGCTCCAGAGAGCGGGCAGCAGGGACCGGGAGATCCGGGAAGGGGGGGAGGTTCAGAGGCGCTTAGTGCGGCGAGGGGACAGCGCCACGGAGCGAGTGGGGATGCGCGCAGGGGGGACGGGGCGTGGGGGCCCCGCGGATTTGACTGGGGAGGGCGACTGGTGAAATAAGGTGATCGGGAGAGGGGACGGCTGCCGCTGCCCGCCGAACAAAAGCTGACGCTGATATTAAATGGGCTTTTGTTAAGGGGAAGTGTGTGTGCGTGCGTGTGTGTGTGCGGGGGGGGGACACCCCGCCCGCTGCAAGTTGCCATGCGGCGGGAGGGCACCTTAGACTTGTTTACCGCTCGGCGCGGCGCTCACTGCCGTGTTTACCCTTCACACACGGCGCGGGGCTCCCCTCCTCCCCCACAACCCCATCCCTCCTCCGTGCCCCGCGGAGGGGAGGGATGAGCGGAGGGGGGGTTAAAGAGGGGGGCGGGGGGGTGCGCGGTCAGGAGATGTTGATACGATCACGCGTAAAACAACCACCCCCCTCCGGTTTGCAAGTAGGATCGGTGCAAGCGCAGGCAGTCACTGGCCGGAGGGAGAATTACATCATCCCCTGCTCCAGTGATGCTACCTTTCGTGCCGCTACCATGCGCGCAGGGAAACAACCGGGGGCGCGCCTCACACCCACCTCCCCCCCCGCGCCGGCTCGGTGCCACACTGGGGGTGGGGGGGGATCGGGGGTGGGGAGGCGCTCCCCCGCGTCATTCACACACACACACACACACACACACACACACACACACACACACACACGCCCGCCCTAGTGTTTACAGCGCTCACACAGCCGTATTGTGACGTCGCCTGAGTGACAGCCCGCCGCGCCAACGGGGGGGGGAGCGCGGCCCCCCGACGCCGCGGCAGAACAGGGGCGTCCCGCCCGCTCCTGCCCCCGCTCCGCGCCCCGCGGGCACCACGGCCGTGCGCGGCCCCGCGGGGAGCGGGGGGGGGGGGCGTGCAGAGCCCCGCCGAGCCCGTCACTAAACACTTCAAAAGTTAAATCCAACTCACACGCCCCAGCACCAGCGTGGTTTACACGATGCCGATTAGTTTGCGTTTATGACGTTTTATGACGTTTTAAGCGCTTACTGTACGCTCGAGAAGGGGTTTCTCGTGGGAGAGACGAGGTGTATTTGTAAGCGTGGTGTGTCTGAGAAGTTACACCGCTCACTTGAGTCCGGGACATCCCTCTGAGAGTGAGCCGGGACTCGGGGGCCGGTCTCTTGAAGGGAAACATGCTCCTTAAGTGACTTTGGCAAAGGGAAACCGTCAGTGTAGAAGCTGTCATATTGATGGTCCTGGACACTCCATTGTCCAGACTGGACAATAAAAATTTTTGTTGTTGTTGTTGTTTTTGTTTAAAGGGATATATAGATTTAAGCACCGAGGACAAAACCTAAATTCCACACATCGTATGCTTTCCCCAGTGTTACAAGTGTAATGTTATAGGGTTAGAAACTTGTTGCAATATGCTACTGTGTTGGGAAAAAGTGTCTGTAGGGTTTACTCAGTTTGTGAAAATATTGAAGCAGTACTTACCCACTGTAAAGTCAATAAAATTGTATCACACTAAAAACAACAAAAACTGCTTTACAAACTGGTATTTCTCAAGAATTGTCTGCCAGAATGCAGCAGTGTAAAAATTGTTACTAAAACATTAGCCTTTACTTGTTGCAAAATTCAAGTAACCATGAAGCCCTGTTTAATAGTACACACAGTTTTTAATGTGTTAATGGTTTGGGTTTCTTCAAAGCGTACTACTTTTTGAAGTCTGGGTGTTTCTATTTGTGCAGAAAATAGACTCAGAAGCTTTGAGCTCCTACTGTTACAAAAGTTAAAAGGAAACAAAGTTGAGCTGCTAAGTCGGCAGTCTGGAATGAGTCAATAGTATCTCCTTTGTCCTGCTAGCTTTCTCTGCTGTGGTGTATCTTTGCTCTATTTCCTCTGCACAAGCAAATGAGGATTTCTACCCTCAGCATATTTAATAGCCTTTACAGAACTCCTGGCTTCTAAATATTCTTACCTACCAGTAATATTCATTCAAATGTCTGCCTTTCCCAGCTGTATACAACAGTCGCGATACCATCAGTGACAGTATGCTCACTTCTTTAACCACGTAGATACTGCCATATTTTCCATTCTCTATAATTAATGGAGCAAATTATTCTTGCTTTATTGCAGTAAGCCTTCGTATAAGAAGTGAATATGCCTTCTTAAAGTATTTTATTATCTTGGTTTTTTGTTTGTTTGGGTTTTTTTAAAAAAGTTTGGGCCGGAGACATGGAGATGTAGATAACTCCCCTCCCCCACCTTTTACTTGGGGATTCCCTGGAAGTCTCAAAGGGCAAGGAGGTAACATAGCTGGCTTTTACAACAGGATGACAGGTCCTGACACAGGGTCACAGAGAATCTATGCTTGGCTAGCCCTGTGCTCCAGTTTTGTTTAGCTGGTAGCTAGTCCCTTGAGGGATCAGTGTCAGCTTAAGCATGCTAACTTCTACAGGCAAGGGGTTGGCCAGTGCCTGAGAGCTGTGACTGGCTCCTGCAGGCTCCCTACTTCTGCTGCACTTGGAGCTTGAGTGTTGCTGCCAGGCTGCCTTTGTGGCTCTGGAGCTTGTCACAGAGAGAAATCAAAGTGACAACAGTAGAAAGCAAGCCCCAACACTGCCTGTTTTCTGAAAACAAAAGGTGGGTAGATGTACTAGGCGGATTGACAAAGCAGCTTGGGTAGGGATGTGGCTTAATTGACTGAGGCACAGAAACTGGAGCCAATTCCCATCACCATGAGCTAAGTTTCTGTGTACTTCAAACCCACTTTGCCCTCAAATTCTGGCCTTGAATTGATATTAGTTGTTCCATAGATCTGTCACACTCCCAGAGATGATAAACAAATGTCAATTCAATATCCCACATGTAAAAGTATTAGTGTTCAGCAATTAAAATATCAGCATACTTTCTCTGTATTACTTATGTATATCTTAAATTAACCTATTATGGAACAAGAGATATATATAAATGCATGTGTGTGTGTATAAATCTATGCACACACGCATACACACCTTCTCATATTGATAACTCTTTCTAGTTTATCTATCAAAAAACACTGGAGATTAGATCTGGGATACTAGAGTCCAAAGAAAAGTGAATTTGTATTAACTCACTGGGAAGTCGAAACCTGTATGTTAATATATACAGTATGTAGTTTTTGTTTAATTTTATGTTGCAGTATGGAGGCTTTTTAGGTCTGCAAGATCAAGACAATTTTTTTTGTTTGTTTATAAAAGTAAGACTTGCTTATGATTAATTTACATACGTATGCTTTTCTTTTGATACTTGAAGTATACAAATGAGTAATTTAGCACATGATTATCTGAATGACCATCCCTTTCCTCTTTCACACTTGAAAAAGATTATCAGTCAACTCCTGCTGTAGTATTGTGTCTGTGACTACTCTGACTGTACCCTTTGGTGTCTGATACTTTTTATTTTTTTTTGCAACCTAAGTCTGTACTTCACCCACCAGTTCTTTTAAAAAAAAATGCAGCACCATAATTCCCAAAGATAACAAGCAGTTTTCTCTGGTGACCATAAGGGCCTGCCTGTGCTATGGATTTCTACAGCTTTCATTTAAAACTTTAAACACATTTATATCTTTTCATTTGTAAAGGGTGTTACTAACTTGCATTTGGAAGTTTGACTGTTTCAGACAGCATAGTTTTCCTGGTTCTGCAAGCAGGCAGTTTTCAGCTTTTGCACAGTAGCACTTTAACAAGCAGCAGCCATGCATAACTAACAAGACTCCAAGTCCAGTTACTGCTTTTTAGAGGCTCCTACCCAGCTCTTATGTTATCCAAAGTGACCATTTTATGTTGCTGCAGCCATATGACAATTAACAGCAGGAAAGTGAAGTAGTTATTTACAATGAATAAGATACCGAGGGGAGAAAAAAAAGTTTAAAAAAATGGAGCCTGAGGCACAGGAAGAAAGCAGCAGAGTTCCAGCTATCCTTTTATAGTAACTGGTGTTTTATGGAAAGTGGTTAAGAAAAGAAAACTCTCTCTTCCTTTCCAGCAGTTAGCCAGTGATGGCATGATCCTTCTAACTGAAGACTGATCGCATTCTTGGATAAACCTTTATGCAGGTTTCATTTTTAGTTATTTGGAAATGAGCAGTATTACTTTCCTCAGTCCCTTCTCTTGAAGCTACTTCTGCATTCTGAGTCTAATCATCTAGCTATATTGATAGATGTGTAATAGAACGGTTTCAAATTGGGCATTAATGGTTCATAAAAATCAAAATATATTTACTAATATTTTAAGCACCATAGTAGTTTTCATTCATATTTCTACATACACAGCTAACATTCTGAGTAAGTATAGATATTATTAATCAGGGCATTACTTCAAAATGTGTACCCCATATATACTTAGCATGGATGATAAAAGTGCTCTCAGAATGGATTACAGGTACAAACAAATATTTTGTAAAACGGGAATGGAAATTAGGAAATCAGTAGTAGCTCATCAGATGAGAAATATGCCTTTAGACTGCATGAAGAAGTAAAAAATAAATATGCTGAAAACTAGGCAACACTAGCTACTGAAACAGAATATTGAGACCACTGTACTTTTTCAGGACTCTTAGTATCCTCATTTCTGGCTGAATGTGGTATTTGCAAGAAAATCCTTTCTTATAAAACAGTAAATTTCACAAAGATTCCACTGTATGACAGTGTACTGATTGGCTGTCACAACTACTGACTAAATATTAATTTTGGTAGTCTTTCCAAGTTAAATCTATAAACTCCTGTATCTGGATAACTTTTAAAACCCTACCCAAAAGTGAAACTCTCAACAAAACAATTTCCTGACTTGTACATTGTCCATCC